AGAGACTGGGTGTAATGTCTAGAAACCCAAAGGTGTCCATGCAATTCTGAGGAAGAAACACACATGCCATCATCAGAAGATATACTCAAGACAGTTTCTGTGCAGTACCTGTTGGCTCATTTGCAAGGAAAGAAGATAGTGGTCCAGTGAAAACAATTTGTGTGGGGTTGTCTTGCAATGTACTGGGAATTAATCACTTAGATGAGGTGAACATATTCTAGATTTCTAATGGAACCATCACTATAGGAGCACAGGTTATTGTAAAGAACTCTGACCCCCAGTCAAAGGGACTATATTTTTGATCCACCTCTGCCATGACATGATTGCCCAAGTCATTGGATTTAATGTCAGCTGAACTGGCTGACCTCAAGGTTCTTTGTGGCTCTGTGGTTCTCTGAGTATTTGTGCATTTTTTTTTTTAAGTTCACATCATACCTGGCTGGTGGTTGATGATACTACCCTCTGTATGGATGAATCATGCCTACATTCTTAATAGAATGATATTGGAAATATAACATGGTCAGTAGCCTGTATAGGCTGTGGAAGTTGAGGCTGTTTAAAAATCCTTGGACTAGTACCCATGGTCATATAGTCAAATGCAAACAAGCATTGATGTTGTCAGAGCCTTGGCTTATTTTCTAACGTGGAAGCAGGGCCATTGTCTCCATTCTCTGTGACATTGATTTTGGTCAAAAATATTCTTCTTATTTGCAGTTAAAAATATGCAAAAACTTGGCCAGTGATGTGACAAAGCTCCAGATCAGCAAGTGCATGCCATCCGGCTCTCTCATGCAGACTTTTGATGGCTTATGTTTGTGTTGTACCAATACCATGAGTAAGCTTTGGGCAGAGAGATTTATAGAGTTTTCTTTTTCAGTGAGAAACAGTGTCTCTTACCTTTTGGTGGTGAGAACACATTGGTGGCCACACATGCATTGACTCTGGTAGAGATGCAGATGTTCTCTGAACATTGTATTTCCCCTACCTAATAACCTTTTTATTCTTGTGTTGTCCACATTGGATGGGTAAATAGCAGTGTATCTCACCAAAGGCAAGACTGCTAAGAGATGATCATGATAGCATTTATTGAGAGCATATGTGAGTCAAGTACTAACTGGGGAGGGTTACATCCATAGAACTAGTCTGTACATCAGTATATTAGAGGAAATTTTGTAAAGCAGAATGCCAATTTCTTCTCTCATTTTCTGCCTTTGATCTGTAGGTATATATATTGATTTGCTTATTCATATCATACTCAGGAAGAAAAAAGATTTGTAAGTGAGAATAAATTAGTTCACCTGAATATCATGTCATAATATAGAACATTCTTGCACGTGATAGAGCCTCATATGATTACATGGTGTAAGAATGAAGAAATGAAACACCAGCACAAGGCCTTTATCCTGATGTTTTTATTGACATCAGACCTTCCTTAGTTTTAAAGGCATTCATTATTATTATAAGACTGTTCTTCATGTGGAAATTTTTGGCATCAATTCCTTCCATTTTTGGGATTCTGCTAAATGTTGCTCTAGGATATGTTTGTATCCAGGGTAAAGAAGAAAAAGTTAGATTCTACATATGACCTACTACATGTTTATAAACTGCTAGTCTCTTAGATTAAAGCTTATGCAAGAATATTTATGTAAAATATTTCTATTCCCTAAAACCTTAACCTGAAAATTTCTTTTCTTAAATATGCTCCTAGGTTTTTCCTCTAAATGGTTTTCTGGCAATTTTGGCATTTATAAGTCAGCTCAAGAATCTATAGAATGCCTGTGCATTAAGTGGTCAAAAAGAGTTTAATTAAAGGGTAAAGTTCTTGATGGAGTGTTTCTCATATATATACATATATATAGAAGGAGAAAATTTTCTTTGGAAAATTAAATTTATGTGAAAATTTCTCATTAATGTTTTTTGTCACCTTGGGAAAATAATACACTCTGTTAATACCATTACTGCTGTCGTTTCCAAAGGGGTGACAGTCTAGTTACTTTTTTAACTTGCTTTAACTTAACCTTATCCATTCAAAATTTTTTTCAAACTTTAAAAGAATAAGTGTTTTGATAATGGCTTGTATTCTTGGTTTGTGTGGTGCTGCAGTATTGATATAGCTTATGTGGCAAATTAACAAATCACAAATATCACCACAGTATGCAAGTTGTTTTCATAAAAAGAAAGAGTATATATGGGAGAAACGTTTCAATTGTCCAAATAAGTAAATCTTGACTCTTGCTTCATCATAAAGCACCTATACTGATTTGGGATTAGATTAGTCATCCTTGTATTAATTTTTAGTATAAGTATTGTGAGGAAAGTGACTAATAAAGTGACTCTCCCAACTTGCTAATAAAATTCAACTTTAATTTCCCATTAGGTATCCCCTGGGAACTAAATCACTGCTGGAATTTGAATTGAATTCCGATCTTTCTTTCTCCACATGATAGCACAGTGACTAATACATGCAACACACACACAAACACACACACACACACACACACACACACACAAAATTAAGACACACTCAACCTATTTTGATGGTGGTGATGAAAGACAGAATATTTGGTGATATGCATTAGCTGTTCTCTTTCCCTTTTTTACTTATCCTTACAATTCTAATTGCTACTGTTTTCAACTCTAAAGTGAGAGAAAGAAATAAAAACAGCATAAATATAATTTAAGGTGGTAAATATTTCATAGTAAAGAATGCTGACAGCATTCTTGATCACTTCCCTATAGCTTGTTTTGCAAACCATTGACAGATTTTGCTAAATACCACCCCCCAAATTATGATTAAAATATTTCCACTAACAGAACTACAGTAACTTTTATTTTGTTCATTTGTATATAGTTCCCTCTCCTTTTCTTCTTCTATTCTTCCAACTGGAACAATTGAAATTTGGCCAGAATATTTATTAACCAAATGTTGAAGAAAAGATATCTGTTAAAAATAGTTTTGGTTATTTGTGCGAATGGGAGAAATTGGAACAAATCAAGATTAAATGGCAGTGGAAGAGTCAGGTTAGTTTGGCGAACAGAAAGCTGAAGTAAGGTTGATTTCCTGGCACTGCTTTCTTAGCAAAGAGAACAATTTTAATCAGTTACAAAAATATTTGTGATCCATATGTTCCACTCTGCTCATCCCCATATGCCCATATTCTCTTTTATCTTGGTGGATGATGACTTTATGATTCAGGCATGCAAGAATAATACCTCGCTGACTTTAGAGCTCAGTGCTATTTCAAAACGTGTCCTGGTAATTACGCACACACATATATCCAGGCTGTTCGCGCTTTGAGTTAGTTATGTGAACATCAGTTTGTTCTTTCTCTCTTCGTGGAAAGAATTATATCTTGCATCCTCCTACTGAGGCTGGAATAATGCATCTAAGACTTAGATTTGAAAACTGCATTGCCGTTCACCTGCTGGATTATATGCCACCGTACAAATATGAGGGTCAGAAAAAGGAGGCAAAAGAATTGTGGTGATCCTTGATAACTTCATTCAACTTGGAAAAAGGAAAACAGAATCCAAAAAGCATTTGGTAATTCCATCCATCGTTAACATTTTTTCTAAAACATACTGGATAATGGGCTTGTTAGTTAAATAGATCCTAATTTTAAGACATGGTGACTTCTATTTAATATTGAGTATTAGTTATAGTAACCACGGTGAAACTTGTCAAAATTGAAAAAGTAGAATTACTATTGATTAGCAGTCCATTTTTGTCCCAAATGCATGCTTGCTTATCTGTCAAAAGCCATATGATTTCTAACAACAAAAGAAACATAGTTTAAAGCCTAATTATCCATCTTAATAAAACATAAATAAATCCAGAAATTTTTGACTGTTTAAGTGATTGCATTTTTCAACAGTTGTTTTCCTCTTGCACAACAAATGGCTTTGTAACCCAATATGTTGTTAATATAGCCACAGTAAAATCCTATGAGGAACCAGCTGGGCTCATTTAAACTTGGGGGGAGGAAGTAGCAAGAAGGGGAGGGAGAGAGAGTTTCTAACCTTTAGACTAAATAACTGGGGTGCGTTTAGTGTTTTCATAGATGGGTATATGATGGAAGAGGTGTGCATGCTCTTGGATTTAGCGGGTATGCACCAGACTAGAGTTACAGGGAAAGGAAGGAGATACAGCTTGATTTTGGCAAATGTTATTAAGAGCCCGTCTCTATGTTTGCATTCAAGCTGTCTTTGCCGCTGCTCCTGTAGGAGTTGTGAGAAAAAGAAAGTGCATATTATAGCATGGATTGTTTTCAACAGGCTTGAAGTTTGCAAATCTGTTGAATCCCTCTGACAGTGTTTCTTTGCTGTCAAACAGAATGCCCAGCTGGCGGTGGCAATCCTGATGGGGAGGGAGGGGAATGGGTAGACTGTGCTCACCATGCAACAAGAATATTAGGAATTCTTCTTCCTAAACTGTAAGTGGAGAGAAGAGAGCGCTCCCAGCCATGCTATTAAGGAAGTTTTCTTTACATTTTCATTTTTTGTTCCACTTTTATAGTGAACCTTTAAAGATGTTTTAATAAGGTAACTTTTATAAAGAAATAAGCCATAGAAACAGAATTAAGGTATATTATATTAATCTATAATTAAGACAAAGGCTTTGGTTAAAAAAAGGAGGCAAGACTTTTGCTCATAGGTGATCTTGATTCTCATTGAGGCAAACACACAAGCTTGTTTTTTTTTTAAATACAAAGTGCGAGATTTCACTAAAAAAGGTTAAAATTGAAGTGAGTAATCTTCGGTGCATAATGCAATTGTTAATTTTAGCTCCTTGCGTGGGTGCCGTTCTGACTTGAACAGCCGGCTGTAGCCTTCATTAGAGAAGAAGCAGGCAGCTTGAGACAGGTGGAGCTCTGGATCAAGCTGTGAACGTGATTTGCTGGAAGCTGGTCATTAGTGTTAGAAACCAGTCTTATTTATTTTGTCCCTCTCCCTACCATGATTATTGCAATTATTATTATTTACTTTTCGTCTTTTTTCAGGTTGACGATGATGTGTCACACTGTGTAAGGGAATCGCATGGAGATGGGCCTTCCGAACTGTTAATGGGGACATGGGACTCCAGTTGTCTCTGATCACTGGTGTGGATTTTCCTGCTGTAGAACGACAGAAGCCGCTAGTAAGTCGCCAAGACCTATAGCAGGAATTCTGCGTGAAAGGTAAAGGTCTTGTCTGGCTGTCATCTCATCTGTATTTTATCATCATCATTATTATTATTACATAAATGTGCTTGTTTACATAGAGCAGTTCACTGAATGTAACCATAGTAGACAGTCTGTATCAGAGACTTATTTTGGCTTGTAGTTTGGAAAATTAGAGCTCAATTTGTTCACTCCATTTTAAATCTGGTCACGATCTGTTTTTTACTGAAATGCTCTGAAAAATAAATTAGGACAACAGAAGTCCCCTGTCCTCCCCCTACCCCAATAACATTGAGAACCAAGCCGTTTGCCATTGTTTGGAAATGGAACTTTTTATTTTTGTGAAGCACAAATACCCAGTGCCACCGAAATATAAGGAATCTGTTAGAATGCACTGGATGAAATATCCTGATACCTCCCCAAACCTAAAAGTATTGCTCACTAGTCACTGACAGACTCAAACTGCTGTCCTTTTGGAAAACTTTTCCTTTTGCATTCCCACAGTCCTTTTGCCAAATAAGCCTGTGTATTTAAAAATATCATTAGATACCATCTGTTTTGTCACGGTAGATTTTAGCAGATTTGCAATAAAAATTGCTGTGATTTTGATTTTTCTCATGCTTCCTATTTCCAGTTGGAAATAAAGTTACAGAATTAGTCAATGGTAATTAAACACTTCCAAAGAAACATCAAAACACTGATTTGTCCAATAATAATTGCCATTGTAGTGACTGGGAATGGGGCAGTCATTGCTTGGGATGTTTGGAGAAAGAACTAATTTTCTAAGCTACAGTGTCATTTCTTCTTCCTCTTCTTCTTCTTCTGCTTCTACTTCTGCTTCTGCTTCTCTTCTTCCCTTCCTTCCTTCCCTTTTTTTCTTTCTTTCTTTTTTATCACAGCTTTAAAAAGTGAGGGGAAAATAAATGCTAAATTATTCATGAGCCTCATTTGACAGCACATCAGAAGGGGAAGTGTCAGGGGTTTTATGGAGGTAGAGAGGAAAAAAAAAATAATAACAGGCTTTAACTTGAAAAGCCATTTCCAGTGTCTGTAGAGTAGTCTATTGTGAGCCTGGAGTAGTGGAGTTCAGTTGTGATAGCTTCATTAGAGCTGCCTGCCAGACTTCCTTCCACAGGATCTTGCAGCACCAGCGACTGACAGGAGCCTGGGAGAGGGCTTACACTTTTAATAATGTAGCTGTCAGTTTGAAGCCTGGAATGTTGATCCTGAAAGGTTTATTGCTGAAATTAGATCCCATATTTATACTGAATTATTATTACCTCTTCAATTGATTTTTGCCCCTTGTAAAGTGTACTGTGTATTCCTTATACCTGGGGAAGTGTGTCTATGTTTGAAATCTGCACATAATTTTTGAGTGTTCTTAGAGATGCTACAGAATATCAATATCACCTCTAGAGTCAGAAGTTGAAGGTCATCTGTTCAAAAGTTGGAGAAATATTAGGATTGGTGGTTGAGTGGGAGTTATGTGTCTCCACTTGAGATTTGTTGATCCACTTTTATGGCAGAGTGTATTCACAAGTGTGCGTGTGTGTGTGTGTGTGTGTGTGTGTGTGTGCATGTGTGTAGAGGGGGTGTGCACGGGGTGACTGCAGCTGCCTCTTGTGTATGCCTTGGGTACTTGCTTTCATCTTGTTTTATTCTCCTTTTGTGTAAAATTGGCGGGGGTGCCTGAGTTGCTCATTTGAATTTGAATACAAAAGGAGAAATGAAATATCTCAAGAATAACAGTGAATACTTCACCCTGCACTGACTTTATTTGCTGTATCTTCACCTTCCAGGGCATAAAACCTTGTCGTTTTAATTTGTACCTGGGAGAATGTCTGAGCAAGGAGACCTGAATCAGGTGATAGTGGAGGAAGGAGGGACTGAGCAGGAGGCGGCCACTCCAGAGAACGGCATTGTGAAATCAGAAAGTCTGGATGAAGAGGAGAAGCTGGAACTGCAGGTGAGGCGGAAAAGACCCTGATCCTCATGCCACTGTGTGCGGTTCCCTTCCTTTATTTCTAGAATACTTGGAAGATTTGTTTACTTTTTTTTTTTTTTTATAAGTTTGGCTAGTTTTCATTAGGACATTCATAATGCTCATTTCCCCCTTCTTCCATCGTTAGTCACCCTTTTCTCCCTGACTGAACCACGCTCTCAAATGCCTTTTGAAATGAAAAATATCTAAGGAAAGTATTTAATTACTGAATTTGCACACAGCAGCCCAGTACCAATGTCCAGATCACCTCAAGGTGAATGTGGAGGGCTTCTCCCAAGGTGGCTTTTAGGCTAGCTGAGTTTTAAAAACTAATTTGCTGTTCCGTGGAAAGCTGAAGACCCAATTCATGGTAAACTAAGAAAAATCGAAGACATGTGTTCTTTTGACCTTCGTGGGCATACTAAGGTTCAACTCTTGGCAAACAAGCTTAAACCATTGAATTCCCAGCCAAAGAGAGGGACACTTGAATAGGGGGGAAAATAAAGACTCCGAATGATTGAGGAAAGTGAGAAAGTGTTGTGTTTAAATACACTTTGATTTACAAGAGAAAGCACTGGGTAGAGGGAAAACAAACTGTACTTACAAATAGCTTGTTAAGTATCAATTTTCTTTGAACTAAATTACAGCAGTGTTAACACTTTATGTACCCAGAGTTAGCAAAGGCAGATAACCACATAATGGACAAAGCCTTCAAGGCTGGCTTTTCTCCTCTACAATAGTTGCTGCAAGAGGAGCTGAAAGTCAAAAGTTTTAAAAAGCTAGGGAAAAGAGGAATCTTCCCTACTGGTTATAATGTCTGGCTGTTATTGATTTTTCAGCTGTGGCTGGTAGTGACACTTTTTCTTTCTCTCTCTGTCAATGTCTCTTTTTCTTTCTCCCACTCTTCTGGTCGTTGGTTTATTGTTTGTTTTTTTTTTATTTTGTTTCTAACATACAGAGGCGGCTAGAGATTCAGAACCAAGAGAGAAGAAAATCCAAGGTAGGGTTCTTGAAGTTCTAGGTAGACCTGAAGTCATGGATATAAATTGCATATTTCACATCAAAGTTAAAGTATTTGCCAACAATTCAGATGATTTGTATGCAGATACTGCGGTACATTCTGGTCGTACTGGTGCTGTCTGTTTTTAAAAGGATTGTGTTTACACGTATCTTTCTTTCTTGTTCTGTATGCTTTGTAATTAGAGGATTTGGGGTTCAAATAGCTGAAAATGTATATGTTTGATCTTGTTTTCACACTTTGAGATTTTATAGTGTTTTACAAATCGAATACTCACTTGGTCGGTTTTTATTTTTTTTTTTAAAATTGGAGTAGATGTTTTAGTCTCTCTAATTGATTTCTGCCTCGAAGTAAACAGGTACTAGTGTTTACTACACATTCCTCATCCTCATAGACATCTTCTCAGTCAAATCCCCTTCAAACTCAGTTTCAGTGGAAATTGACTTGGTCACTTTTTTCTCCGGGTACCTTCATGAAATAGCAGCAATTCATTCTTCATGTGTTCCCCAGTATGATGGGCACAATTTGCTAAAAGTGTTTCTTAAACTCATCCGTTTACTTTCTCCTTCACTTCTGTTCTCATCAACACAGAGCTCTCTGATGCTTTGAGCCAGTGTAGCCGGTACCGAGCATCAGACTTGAAGTTTGGTTTTAAAAATCTCCTTGGGGAATGTTATGTGAACGTGGAGCTGATTCGACAGTCTGAGAATGTTTCCTGTTTGTTGTCTTTATTTTCCTCTCTTTCCTTTTTCTTTCCCCACTCTCAGTCAGGAGCAGGAAAAGGTAAACTGACTCGCAGTCTTGCTGTCTGTGAGGAATCTTCAGCCAGACCAGGAGGTGAAAATCTTCAGGATCAGGTATATCCCCTGTCGTTATCATTAATTGCATGAACGGGATCCACCTTTGTGTGCATGACTATTAATTTGGTGTTTAACAGTGTTTTGGGGGAGAAAAATATATTTAAGAAAATAAATCATTTTTTTGGCTTCATCCCCTGTTTATGAAACATTCTAAAATAGTTTAATGGTTTGTCACAGAGTATTACGTTTGCTTTTTTCCAGACCCTCTGAAAACTGCAAATGGAAAGGAATTCAAAAGAATTTAGATTAACAGTTAAATAAAAACTAAGCACAGTAGTGCTGAATTTCCTCAAAGGCTCTCTCTTGATAAGGCTGAACCAAATATAGTCCTAAGAATCCTGTCTCCTTCCTTATTGGAGATGTCTTACCTCTCAGCTCCCCAAAATGCACTTGCCTATAAGAAACACAACTGTTGGCTTGTATGAGACTTAAGATATAGTGAATAAGGTGCATTGAACTTTGGAGAAATACTTTTATGGCCTTTGGTGGAGATTTCTCAATACTGTAAAAATTGTCCAGAAATAAATCTGAGCTGATGGTGACTTTAAGTTAATATTATAAATATATCGCTGCTTATCCTTACCCATATTTCTACTCCTTACAGCAAGACTATTAGGCACTAAAAATTAAAATTCCACCCAAACTCCTCCGTGACAAAATGGGAAACTTCATATCATTTATTTTTGTTTGCCTTTTAGGCATCACATTAGCTTTTATAAAAATAGTCTTGCTGCTGAAATTTCACTTATTTTATCAGAGGAAGAGAACAGTCAAGACAAAAGTAAAATGATTTATCTGAGCCTAGGGGAGGGAAAATTGATTAAAATATCATTATTTTTTGTTTGGTTTTGTTTTCCTGTTCTCTCTTGACTTTAGTTGAAATACTCTGAATTCCTCTTGTGGATACAGAGAGCATTGAGAGCACTTTCTTTAAAAGGACCAAAAATAAATTCCTTATAGATTTTGTCCTAAGAGTATTTTTTTCTAGCCTCATTTCCTTAACATGCCACTCATGTCATAGGGCATGGACAGGCTATCTTCCAATAGCCATTACTATGTTTCATACACATGCTTTATTTTACTTTGGGCTCTGAGAAATGTGTGGCTTTTCTTCAGCATTTCATTTGTGCTTCTATTTTTTATGGAGATTGAAAAGGGGGAAAATGTGAATATCATGGCTTGTATTATTGAATGTTGATTGATGCCTTGTAATGTACTTGCACATGATATACATTAACTCTGCAGAATGACAGACCCTGGGAGAAATAATGCCCCAGGTGTCCCTCATTCCTAATGCCAAGCAAAGAAGGACACCCTTTAGAAACTGAATCTGCTTCTTGTCCCATTTGACAAGGTACCAGGAGGAAATTTTTTAAGGGATCATCTGTATCATAGTGACCATCCTGGACCTAAGCCTAGTTTCTCCATACGATTGGTGTAGAGAAATAAGGTGCAAACGGTGCTTTGTTCCTGCTGGTTCCAAGCTCAGACACCAAGACTAGTTTTGTAGGAGAGAATGAGAGCCTGTAACCTTCTCTTTAGCTTAACTGAGGAGTGGTGGGCGCAGGGGGTTGATAGAAAATACCCAGACATGCACATAAGCAAGAAATGGCCATGCTACTTTTTTAGAGAATAAAGAAGCAGACCTTTGAGTTTATATGCAATGCCTTCATTAGGTACCACCGGCACTTACAAAATGTGTGGACTGAATCCTAGAGAACACTGGCAGAAGTATAAAGTACATGGATTGTATTGCTTCCCCAATGTTTGTATATTCACAGTGTTTGGAAAACTGCCTTCATTTTCCAGTGTGGGAAAAACTCTTGCTACCTGTATTACTTGATCTCAGACCCATACATGATGGTTCAGTCTGTCCTTAAGTTAAAGGAATTTTGCTTTTCTAATGTTATACTATTTACCTATCAGTGTGTTACTGCAACTTGAATCACTCTTTTACTGTTGTTGGATATAAACTTATCCTGTACCAATGTATTTATTAACACTTGTATTTTATTATTGAGCATATCAATAAAAATATTAAAAAATAACAGATTGTTTTTTACCAACTCTATAGCACTTTTGTGTGTTCTTTCAACACCATAATGTATAGAAAAGGTAGATTTTTTTTTTCTGAGTATAGTATTTGTCAACACATAGCATCAGTTTGCACATTTTGTTTTTGTAGTGGATGTCCTGTAGTTTCTGCTCTTGCATATGTAATATATTTCCAAGCCTCTATGAGTTTAGATTTAAACTTATGGAGGCTGGATGGTTCAATCAGTTTTGAAGAAGCAATGAGACCACTTTCATGACTCAGGACCCTCCGTTTCCACTCCCGATTAACTGATGAACTGATTCTTCCCCACCTCCCAGCCATATCTTCTGAGCCAGAAACGTTCCAGTGGTTTCCTTAGCAAGTAAAAGCAAATCATAATCCCAGAACCTGCCTCAACCTTCGCATGTTAAGATGTCTCTGTCTTAAACCATGTGACGAAAGACTCTATAATCAAATCACACTGAGTTTTACATATTTTATATTTGACCATCCCCAGGATAAACACATGAAAGTCAGAAAACCCACTAAGACAAATATTAATAATGACAGCATGTTTTATTTCATCCTCTCTATTGTGCGTCTTTCCAAGTGTGGTGACTTTTTATTCTAGCAAGGAGCTCACATTGGAGTCCCTCCCAAAAAAGAAACTTGGCCTTGGAGGACGTTTGCTTAATGCTCATTAGATTAGCCAGGTTTACCAAGAACCATTAAGAACCCTGAATTGGCCACAATTTGAGGAGGTACAGCCATCAGTTTAGTCACATGTAGTATGAGCATTAGTTTCATTCTCAGTGAGAGACATTATTAGTCATTGGGGATATTTTTTTTCTACATCATAAATTTTAATGTCACTAGTGAAAGAAAGCTTTCCCACCAAGTGATCTCTTACATAAGAGTAAGTAGGCTTAATGTTCGCTAATTTGTCATAGTTTTAATCATAGCATAGATTTTTCATAAAACTAAAAAACATGATTTGGCTCATTCTTCTTCAAAACAGTGAACATATTACCAATCAAATGGCTGATATATGTGAGTTAATAAAAAATGATCAGTTTTTTTAGTGCAAAATAAATAAATATAAAAGTAGATCCAACCCCTTACTCTAAAGGGTCTATCTTATACCCAGCGTTAGTTCAAGAGAATCTTATTTTGGAAAAGATTAACTGATACTGAAATAAAAATAACATTAAATATTTACATACTATTCATGGGAAATAATTCTACTTCCTACCTTTTCTAAAAGGCAATGCTTATTGTAATTATATAATATAATCATTTGTTAATTATATTTTAAATAATTATGATAATAATCCCTACCTAGGATTCCTGCAATAATATAGTCTGATTTTTCCTAGCAGTAGAAATAACTGTTGACATATTTCTAAAATAGAGTTTTTATTGTAAGTTGGCTATCAGGGGCTTTCATTACGTCTGTTCTATTTGTAATTACGATTCGTAATATCTGTCTGTCTGTGTTTGTGCCAATTTCTCCTTATAAGGAATTATAGAAAAGAATTTCAGAAGCGTTTTTTTTTTTTTTTCTTTTTAGACATGACAGTGGCTGTGATGCAAGCATGCTGACAAAGAAATTTTTCCTAGGTGATTAAAAATAAACCTGTAGAGAAAATAAGAGTTGTGATCTACAGGAATTGAACTTGATTATAATTAATATTCATGAGGCAAAGTTTTAGTGGTAGATGTTTCTTATGACCTCCCGTTGACTTCTGAAGTTCAAATCACCTTAAAGGGCAATTAATTTTCTGACAGGTTTAATTTTTTACCATTTAAGAAAAAAAACTCTGCATCTGGCTTTCATTTTCCTGCACTTAATAACCTTTATGCAAAATGGAAGCCAGACAGAGATTTTTTAAATTGGGCCCTAAATTATTATATTTTTTCCCCAACAGGAATCAATTCATTTACAGCTTTCCAGTTTTTCCAGCCTGCAAGAGGAGGATAAATCTAGGAAAGATGACTCTGAAAGAGAAAAAGAAAAGGATAAAAACAAAGATAAAACCTCTGAAAAACCCAAGATCAGAATGTTATCAAAAGGTGAATGTGAAAATGTTTCCTTAACTTACACAATTTGGGCACATGCTTATTCACAGAGTACATTCTAGATTTCACATACATAGTCCCCTCCCACCCAACCGTGCATATAGTTTTACATGTATAACGTATGTGTGTGTGTAAAAGATGTCAACTTGATTTTCTTTCTGTTTATGGTGTTACTTGTGATGCTAAAGAGGTTATTTTCAGGATCCCATATTTCTTTGGATTCACATTTGGATCTTCTGTTTTCAATGACAAACTTGTACAAAGGAGTAATATAAATCTGCTCTTATTTCAGGCTTATTAGACAGATTAACTTGGATTGATGAAAAGTAATGATACCCTGTTTTACATTTTAACTTTCATACCTACCTTAAAAGACAGATAGTGGATTAGCAATTCTCAGTCAATAAGTGATGTGGCCTGCAAAGTACAGATGTATATGCCAATGGAATAGAAGATTAACATCTTATCTGGCACAGATGAATTTAGTCTGTGCACCAGTATAATGTCACAGAAGGTTCATTTAAAAAATAATACATTTCTACTGCACTAACTAGTTCTCTAAAAAAGTCTTTCTAAATTCTTCTCAAATCGCAGACTTACCAGACTATTCAAATTCTTACCATACACATTGTTGTACAAAACAAAACTAAGCTAGGTTGAAATGAAGAGTGCCATAAATAAATAGCCTTGCAGTATATTAAAAAAAAACAAAACAAAAACAAAAACAAAAAAAACTGAGAAAGAATAAGGCATCTGATCAGCTGAGGAATGACAACCACCTCTAATATTAGGTTCTATAACCACATATCTGCTTATAATGGTTGTCTCTGCTGCTGAATATCTGAAAACCAAGGTGTATATGAGATTATAGAAATTCAAGTTCCTAAAACAGTTTTAGAAATTAAGCTTTAGCCAGCATTAGGAGATTTAAAATACTGGGAATATTTAGTGCCCATCTGTGTTTTTACTGATCAATATTTAGATAGTCTCAACAACGTCCATGTTTTGCCTCCTTTGTTTTAAGAGAAAAAGGTTCCGTAGGGTCTTAAACTCTTGAGAGCTCTCTGTGTGGGTGGGAGTACCTGTCAGGTGGAGTCTGTGCCCTTGCTGATTTACAGAACAGAATGAACACATGATATATTTGACTCCACCTCCCTCCCACCCAAACTGTGCCCACTTCCCCTCCTATGACGTTTGGGTCTTTCCACAGTCAGGATCTATTGGTGTTTTCAATCCCCGAATCTAATTTTCATTCTGATGTTATACAGCCAGGTTGCTAGTTTTGAAACATGTATTTTCATACCAGTAGCTTCATCTAAAATTTACCTGAGCAGGAGGGAAAGATTGGGAAAACCTTTTCCACCCCATCTTCCCACCGTCACTCTTGACAACTTCATTTATTGTTTGCTATTTGTTTCAGATTGCAGCCAAGAATACACGGATTCCACAGGCATAGACTTACACGAGTTTCTGATTAACACATTAAAGAATAATTCCAGGTAAATCATTAAATAAGCCTCTTATTTTTAGAAGGGTCAAATAGAATATTGCAATCAAAGTTATTAATCCAACACTTCTAAGAAGGTTGTGGTGGAATGCAGATACCTTCCCAGGTGTCTTAAACTATCTCCTGTATTGTCTCTTTTCTGCTAATGGCTTGCATGTTTACTATTTATGCAAAGTCTTAACACTGGCTAGTTACCCAATGAATAAATTATAGTTTAACAGTCTGATTTCCTGATCACAAAAAGATACTAAGAGGAAAAATAGAGAATGAAAATTATTGACGTCAAATAAGCCAATTACGTTTCAATGCAGTTATATATTCATCTACAGTCAATACTTGGGCTTAGCTTTTTTCCAGTTTTCTGTTAATTTAAAAGATGCTGTCATTTGATGTGTTTTATGGTCCTAATACTTTGCATTCCATAATTAACATTAAGACTGTAAAATGTATTACAAAATACTTAACAAATGACATAAGAAATAATCTTAAGTAAAATGACATAATAATATGTGAATGGTCAATATATTCCAGAGAAGAAATTAGATATAGGTTGGTAGCAACATATGTTTAGTTTTTTCCATACATTTAATGAACTATTTAGGTCTTTGGGAATATAAAATACATAAAAACTCTTCACTTTAACATTTATTTTGCAGGGACAGGATGATTCTCTTGAAAATGGAGCAGGAAATTATTGATTTCATTGGTGACAACAAGTATGTTAAATTGCAATGCTGGTTAGTTTTATGATGTATCTTAGTTTGGTATTTGGGCTAAATTGTCCATTCTGGAAAGATGTAGGGATAGATAAAACATTGTTTAATGTGTTTCTTGATTTGTTAAATGGAGATGGTTATTGGAGTTCGGAGCTATATGCTGACGGGAGTTGTTGCTTGGACCATGTGTGCTCCTGCTTGTTAAATTCCTGACAAAATGGCTATAAACAGGGGGCTACTGATTAGCATAGAGTAGCTGTAATGAGAAGCGACCCTTTTCATTTTTATTATAGTTTTTTAATGGGCTCCAGCTGGCTGCAGTCAGTTATGCCTGGAAATAATTGTGCTGCTTTCAGTGTAAACCGTGTAATGACACATCTCCAGATAGGCATCTACAATCACGTATTATGTCATGTCATTTGTCCTGTCCCTGGCTCCGTTGATAAGGTATCATGGACTAAAATAGAATACTTTCCAACAGACATTAAGTTCTCCTTGGCAAGAGAAATGCACAACTATGAAACAAAGATACTTATTGTAGCTTAATCAATAAATCTATAAGTGGAAAACTTCATCTGGAAATGAGGACATTAAGTGATGCCAGAAATGAAATAGGCTTAGTGGTTTGGACGAAAGAGAAATAATAGTTTTGTGCGTGTACCTGTAAAATGTACTACTGGCAAGAAATGAAGGTGCTGATTCCACTTTTCCTTATATTCTGTTCCAGTAATCATTACAAAAAGTTCCCTCAGATGTCATCCTATCAGAGGATGCTTGTCCATAGGGTGGCAGCCTACTTTGGATTGGATCACAATGTGGATCAAACAGGAAAATCTGTTATCATCAACAAGACCAGCAGCACCAGAATGTAAGTCCCATCACTGTCCTTATTTAGCATTTTCTTTTCCTCTTTTGGATTCATTTATAAGAGCACAGCAAAAAAAAAAAAAAATTAAAGTACTTGGCATTTAAAATATGCAATGTTATTTATCTCTTGCTCTTATCAGCAGTATTGTGGCATTTACCTGTAGAAGATTATCTGAGAACCAGGAAAGTTGATAAAATTCAGGCAATAAAGTAGATTTATTCCCTGATCTTTTACATAGCTCCTGAAACACAATTTTCTTTCTTCCATCTGTATTCTATGAAATTACATACAAAACCATGGGGAACTTTATGTCAAATGTAACTTGAAAACAACAGATATTTTTAAACAACATGACGTATACAGGATAATTGTTCTTCCCTTTCTTTTTTTCTGGTTTTTAGACATCAATCTTATTGTGATTTCTAGAGTAATAAAAAGCTCTGAACCTGGAGACCAGAACTCCCGCCTCTAAAACTCAGTTCCACTTATTGTGTGGATAGTTGTGTGAGTAGGAACAAATCCTTTAAAAACTGCCATCTCAGTTTTTCCGCCTGTAAAATGAGAGTTTTGAGCTACATGATACATCGAAGATATAGCTCTGTAATGAGGATGACACTTTGGTTTTTTTTTTCTTTTTAAAATAATTATTTACTTTTTTCTTAATACCTTTTCATTGTCTCATTGAGTCACTAAAAACATAATGAGTAGTCATTTGCTTTGAAACTTGAAGCTGTCTCTCTTGAACCCATGTATCTTTTGAGTACAGTGCAAGCCACTTCTATAGCAAAAGGCACATTAAACTCAAAAACTGTCCCCTGGTAAAGCCTCCACTTTTATAATTTGCTTTTCCATGGTGTCCTTGACACAGAATGCTATGTTAGGGAAGGGAGCTTTTGTGTCAAGCAGAGTATTATGGTTAAAATACTCTTTATTTTCTGCTCCCCAGGGGTTGGGACGAGTGGGGATGGAGATGAGGCTCTTCCTCTACTCAAGGATCAGCCTGTGCTCAGCAGAGTGAAAGTCATAGTGAAGAGAGCACAGACTGGGATATTTGGGACCAGGCTTTGCTATTCTCTCAGGGACAATGAGCACTCCACTTCCGTGGGCTTTAAATTGCTTATATATATCTGCAGGACAGTTTGAAGTGAATAATGTTTAAGGGCCCTTGAAGCTTTGGAATTATTGGGTCCTGGGGTTGCATTCTACTGTGCTGGCAAAAGACATTTTAAAATTTATCTGCTTTCCACTTTATCTGATTGTTGACACATGTGCCTCATATTTTGAGCACCGGTGGGAATTAAAGGTCACGATTCTTTAATGCTTTACATCTCCATCAACTACTTCTTGTTGTCGTTATTGTTGAGTTGTTGTTTGTTATTCTACATTCTGATTTTCCTTATGGCTTTCAGATACTATAATGCAGAGGCATGCTGATTGTAAAATAGAGAAGCCATTGACTACCTCCTTTTAATTTTTTTCTTCCTCTTTTTCTGTGAGGCCATAGCAAATATGGAAAAGCCTATAGGTCAAGTAGATCAAATTTGATACAGTTTCAACTGTTGGATACATTTATTTTTAATTTGCTGATTTTACAATCACATAGTCATGACTACTAGTACATGTATTTGAGACCTGTTCCTTGGAGAATGCTTTTCAGAATTGAGCATTTATGAAGACTCTTGGTAAACTTCCAGTGAGGCTCTAAACTTGCTCTGCCCCAATATGGTTGCTGCCTATGTATTTATGTTTAATTTACATTAATTACATTTAAATAAAATGTAAACTTAAAATTCAGTTGCTCCATCAGGATAGCCACATTTCAATGCTATGTTGGACAGAGCATACGTATAGATATTTACATGATTTTCGAACATTCTAAATCCTTATGCTTCCTGCAAGTTCCCAAATATCACTACAGATATATTTTTCCTATAAACTTTGTTTCTGGGTAATAAGCATGTATTAGTAGACTTCTTTACTTCCAGAAAGGCACTAGCTTTTGTTTTTTAATGGTCATTTTGAAATAGACCCCACAAGTTTATGCCTTTAGGAGAGTGAAAAGTGAATGTGTGTAGAGGATCCTCTTCAAGGGTGGTTGCTACCACAGGAATGCCAGGGCTCAGTCTCTGCCTAGTTCCTTGCTCTTGCACATCACCTTTAGCCACCCTCCATGAGTCAAATCGTGCCTAAACAAAGAAGTCTAATGACTCTCGGTCATGAACCTTCAAGGTATTTCCTGAAGAGTTGAGCTTAACAGTGTTCAATCCACAGCTGTCAAGCCCTACTGTTCTGTTCCAAGCATATTTCCGATCGTTCTCTATTTGAGTGATTCTTGTGGGTGGGAGAGTGTTGGTAGTTCAGAGACCATTCATGTCTTAGACAAAAAAAAAAAAAAAGAAGATGAAGTAAATTCCTTTTCCAAATAGTATTAAATCACAATTTCAGGACCTAAATCCTTGTTGGCAGCTTTAGTAAAAGGAAATGTTGTTTTGTGGAATTATATGTTTGATTTAAAAGTCAGTTGCCATGTCTTTGGAGTTGAAGTTCAAAATGGAGCAGCCTATTCAGAACATTCCTTTCAAGTTCTAGATGACTCAGTTTCTTTGGTTTTGTGAACATTTCAAGTGCTGTCTTATCAGGGAAATTGATATGTGATGGTCCTGAGAACCATATTAATTTAAAAATACTACTGGATTGATCATTTCCATTTATTTAAAGGAAGGGGACTGAGATGGGAGCTCCTCAGATCACTCCCTGGGAGCTTCATGTGTGGGGCATACCTCTCCAATGTGTACAGTTCTATCAAATACATCTTAAATGGCGCTGTAACTTGGAAGAGATGATGCCAATGTGTGGATAGGAGCAGAAAAATGTGCATTGAGAATATAAAACTGAACTAAAAGGTTGAGGGAGAGAAAAAAACACTTTTATATTGATTTTAATTTTTTTCTTAAGTGACACTTCAGTTCTTCTCTGACACAGATGCATACATAACTGTAGCTATATTAGCTACCTCTTGGCTAGAATTTGTTTCCCAGAATCCTGCTTTTCTGGATGATAAGCAGTTTAAGTATTAATAATTACAGAATGTGACTTGAGAATGTTAAGTTTGCATGGCAAAGGAATACTTTCACATGAAGTTCAAAATGGTTAGGTCGTAACAACACCTTCTGTGAGGATTATATATATATAGGTGTGTGCACTGACCTCTAGTATTTTCTGTAGTATCCTCAGATGATAACCCATCTGCCCTGTCATGATAGAAAGAACTTGTCTCAGGATATACTGCTCAGTTAGTTAAATGGCATCATCTTTTACTTATAATAGCATTGCCTACTGTTTATTCATTGCACTGAGTTCTTAATCTCTTGTTTCATGCTATTATTACATTTAATCCCAAAATACAAATAGAACATAAATAATCAGAGCCTCCTTTGGGGGAAGAAGAAAATGAGGCAAAAACTGAGGTTCAGTTTGGGGCTTACAGAGAAGCAATGATTAGCATGACTGGGATCTAAACTAATCTGTCTAAGGCCAGGAAAAATTTTTCTTCAATAATCTAACTCTCTTAAACCAAAAGCATCCATAAACTATTGAACAAAGTCCTTAAGAAGAGCCCTTGGATTGGCTGCTAATTCCAATTCTTTTAAGTCCTTTGTCATCAGATAAGAAACAGTGACTGAAGGACAAGACATTTTTAGACTTTAACTCAGTGATATCATTAAGTAACAGAACCTTCCTACAATTTGATAGTTCTCGCTAGATTTTCTGTGCTTATTAATGCCACTAGATGTGTTTTTTTGGAGAGTACATCCATTAAATTTAAGCCTTACTTTACTCCATTTCACTCCTTTTTTTTTTTCTAAGAATAAAAAAGCCATATTTATTCATAATTTTAGTACAGAAGATGAACCTATTCATGGTGTTATTACAAAATTACTGCCACAATAAACCCAATTGTCCAGTTCACTGGCTTCGTGCCATGTCTACAAGAACATCAAGTGCCATGAGAAACAATAAGGCAAGATGGAAAGGTAGTTGAAGTGAAGTCGGAGGTCTCACTTGAGTACATCTGAGAATTCTGGGCACTTGTGGCTTTACCTGATGAGAGCAGAGGTGTCATGTTTTTGATGTCCTGTAATATACACAGACAAAACTTTCCTGATGTTAGAAACATGTTTCCAGCAACTACAAGTCACCAACAAATCTATATCCAGCATTCAGACTTTAGTCTCTTGGGTCACACAAAAACTACACGGTAAGATTTCTGTCCTCACAGGTCTTACACTCTGCTTATAGAGATTGGATGAATGACTTAAGACTCTCACTCATCTTAAAACCTGAAACGTTTGATGAAATTCTTTGTGGACCCATAGTAGGCACATAACAACTGCATAGGGAATGGCTGCATGATTGCTATGCAGCATAACATACAAAGGAGATTCAGTGGAAACCACTGGCCCACCCATTTCATGGATCACAGAGGCATTTAGGAAGACTTTGAGAAAAGCTAAGACTTAATAGAGTGAGAAGGGGGATACATTGCAATCTGGGGTACTGGGTATAAACAAACCTATGATGATAATCTCTACATTTATTGAGCATTTACTATTATCTGGGAATTTTGCTGAGATGGTTGCATTTAGCTCTCGCTACCATCTATCCAATGAAGAGGATGTTTTAAAATCATTTTCCAACCTTACTGAAGAGGAAATTTACTGAGGGAGAATAAGAGAATTGCCCAAAGTCACATTGCTATGAAGTGAGATGAGGACTCTAATCCTGATCATTTGCCCTCAAATCAAGGAGACTTTATGATGCTGTTATGCTGGGTAGAGGCAAATGTGGGAGTGATGATATTGTCTGCACCAGCAGGAAGCTACATAAGATTGGAGGGGGCCTTTAAGGCAGGCAGCCCCTATTGCTTTAGAACACAAGGATTGATGTGCATAACATATTTTAGACAGGTTAATCTGGTACTGACTAGAAGGATATATTCA